CCATTCTTCTACTAATGGACATAGCCACTCTTGATTACTAAGTATGAATATCTCCCAGAGATCCCATCTTCAACTCTATTAGATACAGAAGTAGATTTTGGATGCCTTACCTCATGGATATTTAGTTTTTGGTGTCTAGATCCTTGTGGATCTTCAGCAGACTCTGGTATCTTACTTTTCTGGGGCTCTCTGTAGAAGCCTGGGTAGGGGCTCTAAATCTGTGCTCTTAGGAGAGCGCCACAGGACACGGCAGTATTCAGCACTGGTGCCAACGCCCTGTCCAGAGCACCGAGGGTCCTACGGAGCAGCAGACCCAGCCTAAGCAGAACTTTATCCCAGACTGCCATCAATACTGCCCCATTCGCCTACTTCTCCGTCACAAAAAGAAGTACCTTAGTAAGCTGCTTAGCTATTTTATCTCAAAAGAATAGAGGCACCCGCTAGCACACCTGTTCAAGTACTATGTGTGTACATCCGCCAAGCACTTTCAGAGTGCTCTGCGTTCTGAGATGGTTGAAGTCAATGGGGTTTATTTAAAGAAGGTTTAAAAGTTTCGGGCAATGTACTTTTAATGTATTAAACTCAGAGGGCTCTCATTCTATGTACTTATTATATATTTCATCCTATAAAAACCAACCACTAGAAACGTGGTTTAAATTCGGCATACTTGTTTCTCACAGAGTGAGAAACAGAAACACTCTCCTTAAACAGGGCAATGCTTGTGTCCCACCATAAGAGGGAGGGCTGGAGAGCAGGCCGGGAAGGGAGCATGTAGCCTTCTTCTCCCTCTCCGCTCCCCCTGCCCCTCCCCTTCCTCTCCTAAGGGAGGAAGCCCTCTCCTAGAACACCCTCACCCCTGTGTGTGGCCATCTCCTGAAGGCTCCTGGGAACCTCATACATCAAGCTGGTATGGCGGCTGTCGTGGAACAGGTGCTGCACAAACCCTCTCAAAGCCCATCCCCAGAGCAGTAGTCCCCGAGGAAAGCTGGGCCTGCACGCCTCTTTCTCATCATGAATCCAAGAAGTCCTGCCAGGCTCTGGGGACATACGGATGCCATATGCCTGTGGTACAGCTTGTGGCTGTATCTCAAAGATGCGACTCACTGCGTGCCAGACTCCAGCCTTGCTCTGCTAGTGAGAGAGGAACCGGCAGGAGTCCTGCAATGCCAGAGGCCAAGTCCCCAGCAGTGCTGATGCCAGTGGCTTCCGAGGCACACTGTCTGTCAGTCATACCATGCTCCGTGCTCACAAGACAATGCTGAGAAACACTTTTCTTTTGAGGGTACTGGGGCTCGAACTCAAGGCCCTGCTGATTGGACAGTCATGCCTCTGGCCTGTTTTTCACTGATTGTTTTTAGGGTAAGTTCTCGCTTCTGGTCCTGGCATATGCCTAAACCCAATCGGCCTACCACAGGCTTCCCGCATTGCCAGGGTCACAGGTGTGTGCCACCATGTCCAGCCTCCCTCGGTGCAGGTGGACTTTTCTGCCCAGGCTAGCCTGGCATAGCAATCTGTCCAATCTCAACCTCCGATGTAGCTTGGGATGATAGGCATGTGCTACTGTACGCAGGGAGGGTTGAGAAGGGGTCTCTTTATAACTTTTCTGCCCAGGTAGGCCTTGAACCATAACTTTCTGGATCTCAGCCTCCCTGCAGCTAGGAAGCACCAGTGCCCAGTGACAGAACTTCTTAAAATGGACGTCATTGTGTGTCTACTGATTCTGCTACAAGCTATGCACCCACCCTCCCACCCAGAGGGCTTGGGAGAAATGTTGAATACAACAAAACCAGTGCTGGGCCAACACAAGCAATCAACGCCTGAGCCAGTCCCTTCAGACTTCCAGGGCTGTAATTTAGTTGGGAAAATTTAGAAAGCAGATTTCCTTTCTTTTATCTGGTGCAAGAAAGCACAGTGAATTAAGCCTGCCATTATAGCCTATGCGGCCTATCTCAGAGGTGTGGAAGCAGATCGGTTCTCCACCCACCAACCCAGATCTCTTCACTTGATTTCACTCTCCCCTAACATGGCATCTGTGTGTGATCCGGGGAACGAATCGAGTGCTCTCCTTTCATTCTCGATGTATCCCAAGTGCTGACAACTGTGCTTGCATGTCACATTGTGAGTGAGCTTAAACGAACCTTTACAATATGAACAAGTGACTTAAGAAGATTCCTGCCCCCAATGGCAGAACCGGACTTAATCCCCATATGAGAGCAAGTGACCAAAATGGAAGGGAGAAAGAGACAAGCCATACTTCTGCCAGGACAAAGAGCAGCCACCCAATCAGACGTGACAAGAAACATCCCGCCCCACAAAGCCAGAAGTCATTAGAAATTCAACTCACATCCAGAATCATTCATGAGAACCTTTCCCTCAAGGGTGTTTGGTCCTTGAGATATTAGCTAATGACAACACAAAGTCACAATGACTGCCAACATATTCAAAATAATGCCCATTTCACCTTTATCTAATAAGTTCCAATCTACTCAGTACACCTGCAATCCCAGCACTGAGGCAGAGGCAGCAAGTTCAAAGCCCGTCTGAGCTACCTAATGAGACCTTGCTTCAAACAAAGAATGTGAATACATCAATAATGAATGCAGAAAACATGCTTTTGAATTGTTGGGGTACAAAAGTCAAGGTTTGGGGCTCTGCATGGATAGAGCCCCCATCTGTTCTGGAAGGCTGAGGGCTGCAGGGTTCGGCTTGAACAACAGCAGTGTTGGCACAGCAGGAAGAGGGCCTCATCTGCCACATAAATTATTGTGCCACATTTGTGGTAGAGGTATCAACAGGCCGGCCACTGCCAACCAGTGCCCAGAAGCGTGAGGGGCTGCTGACTGGTGTGGGCTGAGCTGTGCTCTGCCAGCGAACACAGCCACCCCTCAGAACGCCACCTTCTGTACCAGGACTGCCGTCTTTCTGTAAAGGGGGATGTGGACCCTGACTTGCACGTGGGCAGAATGCCACATGTGGACTGCAGCCGACCCTTCTCCGGCTGACAGAGGGAGCTCAGTTCTGCCAACACCTTTACCTTGAACTTCCCTCCTCCAGTACACTGTGGGGGAGGGACCAGGAAACGAGAGCTCAGGAAAACAGCTGAGCTCTGAGGAGTCCAGCTGGCTCTGATACTGGCTGCCAGTATGTCCACCTGAGTCTAGCAGAGCAACGGGGAGGCTGTGTAAGGAGGCCTGCAGATCATGTAAGCGGGGGCGGATCATGTAAGTGAGGGCAGATCATGTAATTGGAGACAGATCATGTAGGTAGGGGGCACCGCCCCACTGCTCTGTGCTGGTCTCTGGGGGATACCTGACTGGTACCTCATCTGCTCTGGAAAGCAAAGTGGGGAGACGCTAGCTGCTACACAGCCTCGCTTCTTGTCAGGATGGCCAGGTAAGACTCATGGCCAGGAGCCCAAGTCAAATGGCAAAATGGGCACTCATGAATATGGCAGTGCACCAGCAAGGGGGCATTCATGACTACCACACCACACCAGCAAGGAGGCAGGAGGGGGAAGGGACTCACTTTGCCTGTGGCAACTTGAGCAGCAGAAGGTTGATGAAGCCAGCACAGTCTACATCACCAGCCCACAGCCCAACCAGCTGATCAGTGCCAGTGGCTCGTGCCTGTAATCCTAGCTACTCAGGAGGCTGAGATCTGAGGATCGTGGTTCCAAGCCAGCCTAGGCAGGAAAGTCTGTGAGACTCTTATCTCCAATTAACCACCAAAAAGACTGATGTGGAGCTGTAGCTCAGCAGTAGAGTGCCAGTCCAGAAAGGAAAAAGCTAAAGCACACAGACCTGGAGTTCAAGCCCCAGCACTGGCACATACACAAAAATAGTAAAACCAGAACTTGAGCTGTATTCCTGATTTCACGATTTAAAATGAACGATAACCACTCAGAAACCTCGTCCAGAGTGTCATCCTCCCCTGGAGCACGGTGTTCCCGAGTCGGCCCACACATGAGTTCACGTACATTTCCCACCAGGGAAGCCACACAGAGCAGACTGAGAGGGCACCAAGCACGTGGGCCAGTGCCTCTGTTTCCCCATGTGTACCTGTGGAGGGTGGCACCCAAGACTGCTGGGGTGAGGTCAAAGTCAGGGTCACATCTCCCCACACCTCCTTTCCTTCCCCTGGCTGAGACACCATCTGCAGACAAGTTGAGAGCAGACTGCCTGCCTCTGTCCTTCTGCACGGACACACTCACAGGTCTGCATGTATGTGTAACTGTTCCTGAACTAACATCCCTCAACCAAACTTTAAATGAGAGCCTTCAGGGAAAATAGGCACTTAGCAGACAGGGTCCAGGACCCAAGAGGGCCGGGGCAGAGAGGTCACTTAATGCTTTGAAGATCTTAACTCAAGGCCAGGAGTAGTAGTGCATATCTATAATCTCAATTACTTGGAAAGCAGAGATGGGAGGAGGATCATGGCTCAAGGCTAGCCCCAGCCATCTGAAAGATAACTAAATCAGGGCAGTGTTTGTCTAGCAAGCACAAGACCAGCACCTCCATAAGCCACAGCACTACCAAAAATAACCAGTACAGCCAGAAAGTTGGGCTCAGAATTTTTCTACGTTGGCTGAGGTTTCATTAGAATAGCATCTCAGGGGTTCCCAGGGACTTCAGTCCCGGAGGCTGCGGCCCCAGTGGAGAATTGCTGCCCACAGATGGCCAGCACACACGAACCAAGCATGACAGTGACGAGCCAGGTACAAAGGAGCTGCAGAATCGCATTTCCTCCTTCGGGCGCCGGGCCTGTGGGGTCCTGCTGGACTCTATCAGAGCCCCAGGGGCCACAGGGCCCTCCTGCTCAGCACAGTCCCCTGGCTTTGGTGCTGGCACCTCGCCCACACCTGCGGGGGGTGGTGGGGTGACAGGGACAAGAGACACACAGCCCGGGGCTGAGCAGCCAGGACCCCTGGACAGAGAACACAGGCTCATGTGTAAGAACAAGACAGTTGTACAGCCATGGCAGCATCGCCAGGCCTTGCCCACCTGGAGCTCTCCCATTCTTGGTCATCCTTGTCTCTCTCTTCTTTGGCGTCTCCCGTGTGAGGATGTTTCTGGACAATTCTCATCCCGCCGGCTTTCACTGGAAGAAAACACAGGTGGCACGGTGAGGGCCAGGAGCGTGCCCAGGGACCCGAGGGCCTGCCGGCCAGGAGCGTGCCCAGGGACCCGAGGGCCTGCCGGCCAGGGCTGGGCTGCCCAGGGACCCGAGGGTCTGCCGGCCAGGAGCGTGCCCAGGGACCCGAGGGCCTGCCGGCCAGGGCTGGGCTGCCCAGGGACCCGAGGACCTGCTGGCCAGGGCTGCCCAGCCCCAGCAGTGTGGAGAATCCACTGCTGACCACCGTGAACTGGGAGGGGGTGTGGTTTATACAACACTCAGAGCCCGGGCTTCCTCTAGGCCTTTCTAGAAACATCCCCAGGTGTGCCTGCCCCAATGTAACCACATCAGAGGCCAGTGAGCGGGGATGTGGAGTTCCTCTGCTGTCAGCTATCAGTGATGATTCGCAGGGGGAGGGGGAAGGGGGTATACAGCCAGGAGTGACACAGGACAGCTACAGCCAATGATGTGGCAAGAGGATGGAGCAGTCCTTCCCAAACGGTGGCCAGCCCCTATACCTGGTAGATGCTCATTACTGTTTTACAAACAGCTGTGGTGAGATACCAGCCATGCACAACAGATTTCACACGCAGAGCTGTGTCATACAGCAATTGTGAGTGTATTCATCACAAAGATCAATTTTTATTACCCTGAGCAGTTAGTCCACACTTCTGAATAGTCAGTTTCCTGTCTATCTCTCCCCAGGCTCCCGGCAACCGGTCCTCTAGATGAAGCTACTCTGGACACTGGGGATAGAAATGGAATCATAAACCACATGGCTGTTGGTGACTGGCTCCTTTCATGGCGTGTTCGCAAGGCCCATCTACATGGAGGCAGCTCTGGACCGACTCCCTGCCTTAACATCAGCCCCTCCATAGCACAGCACACATTTCAGTTAGTCCTCATTGGGTGACGGGCACTGTGTCTCTGTTAGGAACACTGCAGCCACGAGCAACACTTGGGCCTGCTGTGTATCTGCTCCCATTTTCTCAGGTATATTCCTAGGAATCACACAGCAACTCCATTTACCCTTTTGAGGAGCCGTCAGACTGCGCGACAGTGACACCGCTGCACTGAACGGAGCACTTCCGCCTGTGTGCCCCCATGTCACCTCGTCATGACAGCCATCTTAGTGGGTATGAAGTAGGTGCTGGCAGTAGTTGATCTGCATTCTCCTGGTGGCTAACAAGGAAGCAGGAAGGGCTTGGGGATTCTTGGACCTAATGAATGTGAAAAATGCCAGGCTAAACAAAACCAGCTGGCCTGTTTCAAGAGATTTCGAGTCTTCAGACATCATAAAGTTTTATGAAAGGCATGGAAAAAGCAATCTCCTCAGATGCATTTGACAGTTTTTTTCCCCTAGTAATCTTGATCACTATCATTTCTGGGTGCTGGTGGCTGTACTGGAGGTTGAGCTCAGGGCCTTGAGCTTGTCACATGAGAACTTGACTTCTTGAATCACATTTTTAACCCTCATTATTTAGGATTTTGCGCACACACACACACACACACACACACACACACACACACACACACACACATATGGGAAGGCATAGCCTATGATGTACCCATGTATGTTTCCCATATAGCTAGTATAACAGGAGGGCACCACTATGTATAGCTACTGGTTGAGATGGGGTCTCATGTTTATGTCTGAGCTGATCTGGATCTGTGATCCTCCTTATCCTAGCCTCTCGTAGCTAGAGCGACAGGTGTGTATTGCTTGAGATAGAGTCTCACACGTATACCCAGGTTGACTCTGAAACTTCTGATTACCACCTCCTGAGTAGCTAGAATCATAAGCATGAACCAGTGGTGTCGGGCCTTGGTTATCATCTTGAAGCAATGTGTTCATGGAACAGTGTTTGGAAATTACAGCTCTACATCCCCAAATCTGACCTCCCCTGGCAGTGTGCGGCTAGCTTCCCTGAAGAAGCTGTATCTGTAGTCACGATCTTGCAGACTGCTTGTCTCGGCTCATGAGAACATCGTGATTGCAAATAGATGGAACATGGAGAGCCAAAATGACACTGGGATATGTTAGTTGCTTAATAGCCATTAACTTTTGACCTCTGCCTCTGACTCTGTGTCCCCGAGACTATTTGGTGAAACTCCCAGGAAGTATTGCAAAGCAAGCAGAGCTCTAGCCTCTACCAGCCCCGAAGCTAAGAATGCGGAACAGCATGCGGAACCTGTACGGCAGATTTCCCAGCTTTGCTGCGGCCAGGCTTCCCAATTCCCCAACAGTGTATTTGTTAAGTGTACTGGTATACTTTTTTTTTTTTTAAATTCTGAGGCTACGTAAGTTTGTATAACTTGTTCACATGAGAATGTCATTCAGGGTCCCTACAATCTGAGTTCCTGAGCCATGGTCCTTCATTTCAGACTAAACAGTTTTCCTATCAAGGACAGTTGCTATTTTATGTTGAGAGCGCTCAGCTGCAGAAAGGCAATGGATGTGTAAGACTGAGAGACTGAAAGGAAGGAACAGCCCCGGCTCAAGCCAGGCATTTTCAGGGGACTCACTGGCCCCAGGGTCCTGGTTTTCCTGCCCCAGCCCTGCCTTCACCTCAAGACAGCTGGGGAGCCTTCTGCCAAATGCAGCACACATTCCCCGTGCAGCCGGCTTGGGTGGTGCTCCCACTTGGTTGGAATACGCTGAGCCTAGCACAAATCTGTGATGCTGATGATCGGGAAGGAGAGGCTGAATGCGAGGTCCGAAGCTCGCACACTCCAAGTTCACTACCTCCCATTTCCCTGGAGACACAGCCACGCCCAGGCCTCAGGAAGATGAAAATGCCTGCTGGTCCTCAGGGCCAGCAGCAACCTTGCAGATGAATGTCCATTAGGAAAGAGCAAAGCCGAAAGCAAGCAAAAGAAGGGGCTGAGCTTACACAGTGCATCTGCTGGTCTGGGACTGGAACCCACACCTCCCTCGGCCACACTCCTCCTTTCAACGCACAGGGCATGTTCTACTATGCAAAGAAATCAGAATCCAGGACAGCAAGTCTCTGGGAAATCTGCTTTTGATCCCATCGACTGATTTTTAATCATTTTTAGAGCTTTTGTTTTTATGTGTTGGCCTCACTTTATCAGGTCCTTATGGTTGAGGTCTTACTCTTTTTTCATGCTTCCAATAACCTGTGTAATCATTTCAGACACCCTTGTCTTATATCTGTATATCTGATTATTCTGCAATCTGAGGTCTTTATGAGTCTACTCCGGCTGTTTTTTTGTCTGCAGCTTCTTGCTCCTGTGTCAGGTGACTGTGGGCTTTTTTGCTTGTCTTCTCTGGGTTTATTCTGTGGCCCAGAGTGAGGACAGCAGCCCTTTACAGAGGTGTGCAACTGTGTTTGTCAGGACAAAGGTACAGGTGTCTGGAAATCCTTGTGTGGGATTTCTCAACAGAGCAACTTGGAGACCACACAATGTAAACTTGAACTCCAATCATGAGAAGCAGCCATGAATTTACAAAGTCTCAAGGAGACTTTCTTGTCCCTAGCCAGGCTCCAGGCTGATACAAGAGGGCTTCCAGCTATCCTACTGCGTTACGGGGCAGGCCTCTCCCTCCCCCATCTTCTGCAGAGCTGGGATTCTGAGCACCCAGCTTTGTGCTGGGCTTTGGGGTCCTGTGGCCTGCCTCACGGGGGTGGGGAGAGGGAAGGGAAGGGGAGGCCTATCCTGTGCTAACTGTCTGAATAGCACAAGGTCTTCCTTTGGTTTTGGTCCCTAGAGATTTTCTTCACTTTTGAGCTCAGACTGAAAAGCAAAACACAACCCAGAAAAGATCTCTCATTTGCTGGCAATTTCTTAATCTAAGTTTTCCTAGCTTATGTAGTCTGCCACTCCATTAGAAATGGTGATTGGAAATAAAACTCTTAGCATGTTAATGTGATTTTCTACTCTTTTGAAATGTTAGATTGGAGAATTGTGAATGTTTTTAACCAGAGTAAGAACTTAAAATAACTATCTCATTTAATGTTTTAAAAAATACATTTTCCACCTCCCCCTACCACCCCCATGCCAATCAGACACTGAAGGAAGATGCTATTAGCTCCTTCCCACATATGAATGTTCAAGTCCTTAAACCTAGAACCACAGACTATTCCTGTATATGGAGACAGGGCCTCTGAAGAGGTAATGAAGTCAAACTCAGGGCAGTCCTCATCCAACAGAGCTGGTGCTGGTGTAAGAGGAAGAGGCACTTGGGATACAGTTGCATGAAGAAAAGGCCAGGTGAGACCCCGGGGATGAGGTCCCAGACATTTTGGGACGGCAGGCCATCTGCCGGCCAGAGGGGGAGACAGGCAGCCCAAGGAGACATCTGCCCTGTCTATACGCTGACCTTCAACTTCCAGCCACCAGAAAAATGAGAAAAAAAATATCTGCTGTTTAAGCTGTCCAATCGTGTTATTCTGTTACAGCGACCCTTGAAAACGAACACAGATGCCGATTTAAAATGATCACTGAACCATCGAAACTTTGCCAACAAAAAACTTACACTATAACTCCCAGATGTGTTCTACAAACTGACTAACAGTAAGACAGGCTGTACAACAAACTACAAAGAAAACCGGTAACGAATGTCAAGGTGACATTTGAGACAATCTAGCGAAGGCAGTCTACTCCTCAGCTGAAGTAAGTACACACTGCTAGGTTCATTCACCCACGCTGGCACTTGCAGCCAATTCAGTTTCTAAAAACAATTAACTTCATTAATACCAATCAGTGTGTTTGGGGATTAATGCAGCAATATAAGAAGTGATAATAAGGCTGAGACGGATCCACTTTAACTTTCCACACTGCCAAAAAACCCACCAAACAACAAACCCCAAACCACGATAGTACATATTTACTGATTGCTGCACCAGTGTCTCTAGAACTCTATTCATAAAACAGCAATGGCAGAATCATTTTTCTCAGTAATTGTTGCAGAATTATTTGCAAATCTAGAGACAGGAAAAAAAAAAAAAAAAAAAAAGAAC